GCCGTGAGCGTAAGAATGTCGAAGAATGTTGCTGAACCTGGAAGAGAACATAGTCCGGACCATCCATGAAGATTCGCTCAAGTGTCGGAAGTACCAGTCGAGCCATTTCGAACGCACCGAAGTGCGGTGAATTTGGAATGATCGCTTTCAGTACGGCTATTAGATTTTTATATGAGAAGTGCTCACCCGCATCCATTTTCTTCCTAAAATTTCCTCTCTCCGAACGAAATTTTACTGTTTTATTGCTTTAAGAGTTTTGATGTTCAGCTAATAGCAGTGATGTGTTAGGAATACGATAATTTTTGAAGTATTCGACTGACTAATTGATGAATGAATGGATGACAGCATGAAAAATAGTGATAATGATAGGAGTGACAATGATAACAGTGATAATGGTAGTTATAAGAGGAATACCTGAGTAGAGCGAGTTGATCTCCAATTAATTCCATTTGATCTTGCATTTTGAAGTCTTCATCTCGATGTTTCTTGAGACGTTGCATTAGGCGTGCAAAGCCAATGTGATCGTATTGCACTCGAAGATGGGCATGTGAACCAGCGTTTCCCATGTTCCAGTGCACCGCACGAACATGAGGACGTGCAGGACACTGCTGCTCGTATGCTGAATCAATTCATTTCTTCATTCAGTCGCTTTGTTAACGCTCATTTCATGCAAAAGCTTGCTTATGACCAAATATCGCCATGACTGTCCCTATTCACCCAAGTCCCTTTGATACCAGGTTTCGTCATCGCACTTTCGACCAATTTCAACACATTTTTCCTATTCCAGAACACATTCTCTATGCTTACTTGGTATAATGACCGAATTCAGTTGAAATTTCAAAATCAAAATCGTTCAACAACTGAAAATGTCATTAATTGACCCGGTTTGATCCACTTTAGGGTTTCGTTTCGTACTTTATAAGAGTTCTTATAATCGCTGTAAATGAACGGAATTGGCCATGAATAATTGAAATCGCTGGGGGGTAACAACTTGAACTCGTTGAAAGGTTGTTGCGAGAAGCTTGCCGGAGCCATCAGTTGATTATTCGTTACAGTCACCAGTGGAAAACCCTGTAAATATTCATCTTCATCGATGTGCAGATCAAACCAATAGTTTTCCTTCAAACACCTCGATTTTATTTCTCATTTTGATCTAGAAGGATGTCCAACAACATGTACTTATAGTTCTATTTCGTTTCTTTCCTCTGAACTATAAGCTGTTAATCGAGGTGTGAATCTTGTTCCCTGTCGTTGAGAGAGTTGAAGGTAAACTGGACATGAGCACAGCTTGTATTGCTCTCGCTCACACACTCTCGTGAGATTGATCAGAATTTAGGAGAAATTACCTGTTGAAGGAACCACGGATTAAGAAACAATGACGCGTCTATAGGGCGGCCACACCAATCCGACACGTTTTTCGAATGCTAAAATCAAACCAAAAAAATGGAATTATTCACTTTGAGTGATAAATGATAATCTTATTTGCAATATCCTCCACAGTGCAGCTGTTTACGCTGGCATCTGTGTATGGTTCATGAATATTACAGTCAATCTATTAATATATCCAGCCTGTCGTGTTTATGAAAGACTTTGCTGTGTGCTCATAACGCCCTCATTATTGTCAGTTTAAGGTGATTCCAACGAAAAGTTGCGTTCAACAAACAATTGCATTACAGCAGTGAATTCAGCGAAAAGCATTTCGTGATCTGCGTTCGAGAATTGATACTTCTTGATGTAGGCTTGCAATGATGAACGGAAATTGTCCGCTCCAAGCACCGAGTAAATCATTCGCAGCACAGATGCACCTTTTCCATAGGTTATTACTGAAGAAAACGATCAGTCTGAAGTAGCGTTAAACACCACATCATATCAAATCATCACGCTTTAATCCTACATGAGCTAGTGGTAATGTCGTGTCCCGTTATAAGGTTGTACTTAAGGATTCAACACAACCTCCTATTGTTGTCACTGTCATTACTATCATTATTATTACTCTGATTATTTGTTCATTAAAAGTCAGACTTACGATCGAATTCCGGTCCATTATACGCATACAAAGGATGTGAGCGTTTTATAATTGCATCAAGCCGAAGTGATGGTTGAATCCGTTGTGTTAACCATTTCGTTTGCTTCAATTAGAAATTGAAAATAATCTCACTAATCGCAGGAGTTAAAATAATAGCAGCAATAAAAAACTAATAACAATGATTAAATTTTGTTGCTTTTATCTCATTGCCTACTCTTAGATTTCAGTAAAACAGTGCATGCCTTCACTTCATAAAAAGCAGAGGTGAAAAATTATATTTGGGACTGGAACATAGAGATCGGTTTGAATAGAGAGAAATCACGCTGGATGCGATCAACAAGATTAGTTGATGAGTGCGAGAATATATTTGTGCCTTCTGTGTAGGTACTACAACGTAGGAAGTATATTTGAACATGGATAATGGTTGAAATTTCTAGGATAATTGCTATGTAATGCTAGTAAACACAATAAACAAATACGTACTATGTACGGTGTCTGTTGTGGAATTGCCATGCGCATATTGAATCGCTCAAAGAAAGCTGCAAAACCCTCCTGAAGGAACAGATCATCCCACCACATCGCCGTCACCGTATCACCGAACCNTACAGTCACCAGTGGAAAACCCTGTAAATATTCATCTTGTT